GGCGTGATTAAAGAAACCACATTTGTTTACCAATTATTTTCTCATAATTACTGACTCTCGTTAGCACGTTCTATCAGTGACAGCTATCTCACAGTCGCATTATTCATTCTACGAAGCGTAACTACTAAGTAGTTTAGATTTTAAGAAGTATTAATTTCATAGTGAATGGAAAGGTATGTGCTCATTATAAGTAGTTATGAGTATAATAGTAATCGCATTAAAGGAACATGCTTCGTAGGTGCACAAAAATATGATTTTCTATTAAATAAGTAGGTACGTAGTCAGTGCATGCAGATAAAATATGTCATTATTTCGACTATACACACACCAATTTCACACTCCAATTTCAGTTCGATCACAAAAATATTTGACCTGAGATTCAATAAATAGGTAGGTACTACATTTAATTTCGCATTTGGTTATTATTTTAGAAAAATTATAATTATTAACTGTTTCTTGTTCATTAATGGCAGTAGGCACCCGTATCCGAGGACCACATTAAAAAAATGCGCAAATATTGTTTTACTCGCAGAAAATAAAGAGAAAAAAGAATTTAGGAAACAGGCGTTAAAACGTAGATGAAAAATAAATTGTATAATATGTCTGGTTTACCCACATTTACTGGAACAACATGTGTTATTATATCTAGCAGAAAACTCTTACATTTTCCTTGAATCACCGCGAACCCATTATACTTTCTTTCCCATAAAATCATGCAAATTTATTATGGCTATCACGCAGTTATCTTCGCAATATTGTGTTGAGATCAAGCTACACAACGTACCTAACCCGTTTTTTATGTTGTAAATACTTAATGTAGCACTTTATGCAGCAAAAAGAAATAGGCGCGTGTGTGTTTGTAGTACCTACACCACAGAAATATTATCTGTGACCTACACAGTGTAAAACTATCTACTTTTTTTTTCTTATGGCATAAGCCGTTAAACGAACAGACGGATCACCTGATGGTAAGCAATCGGCGTCGCCCATGGACACCAGGAACACCAGAGGCGTTACAAGTGCGTTACCGGCTTTTTGGGGATTACGAGTTTGAGGATCGTTGGGGATTCAGGGATTGGGGAAGAGGATCGTTGGGGAAGGGGAGGATTGGGCCTCCGGTAACCTCACTCACACGACGAAACACAAGGCAAGCGTTGCTTCACGTCGGTTTTCTGTGAGGCCGTGGTACCAATTATCAACCGGCCCATTCGAGCCGAAGCATGACTCTCCCACACTTAAACTCTTATCTTATCTACTTTTCACAAGATGTAGGTATAATATATTAGAAAAATATATATTGTAAATAAACTTATTAATTGTAACTTGTTTCATAACATCAGAGGCATACTATGTGACGCAATATCCTCATTTACACAAAATATATTTATTTAACTGATTTCCAAAATTATTAATATGGTCGTACTAATAATAATCATTCGTCTTTATGCTGCATGTGGCTTATCTGTGGACATAAAGTTCTGAAAATAAATAGATATAAGTATTCACAAGTGTCGACTTGGTAATCAAGTAGTTTATTTTATAAGTTTGTAGATGCATAATTTTAGCAAAAGTACCTTTCTTAATTCTTGTTTATCAATTAGCAAGATTTAAATGAAATATGACTCGTTGTTTACATTTTTATTTCTACTTACAAAATGAGCAGCGGGTAAGTTTTCACGCTTTCTCTACGTCTGCGCAGTTTCGTCGTGCGCACTGTCACGATTTTATTTAATCTTTTCAAAATATTATTAATAATTAGCTTTATTTTGTGTAATTTCACTTCGCTTCTTTGATATCCGATCTGAATATAACGTTTAAAAGATTAGTTGTATTGCTTGTTAGTCATTGTGAATTGAATTTATTTGTCCAACTTATGTAATATCCTTTTTGTCAAATTTGTTTAAGCATGTCATGTGAATTTTTTGAAATTAAGTGTTTTGGTCAATGAGTGGTTTATAGATTGAGAGGAGAACAGTTGAATGTCATGACATGCCCTGGCACGATATCGATTCGTTTCGGTTTTGAAGAAAGTTCACAAGAAAGTTACGATTCTGGAAAAAACCTGTAGTAGTATTAGGTAATGCTTGTCATCAATATTAAGGTAAATCTGGATACCTAAGCCGAACCAATGGTGTATCTTTGGCTGCTATGTTATGTTAGTGAAACTATAAATTGACAACTTCATGAAAAATCGTAACAAATGACTGCACATGCGATACAGCATTATCTAAACATAGTGGTAGTCAACTACCAATTAACAAACAACCACAAAATCAATTAAAACAGTTCATACCTTACGTTGGTACCTATCTACTGCATAGACAAACGAACAAACAAACAACAGTAACATTGTCATCATATCACGCGGTCACTCGAGCAGCTAATCTAAGCGATTTTACATTCTTCCTCACTTTTTTGCCATCTCATTGCCAGATTGTTCGATCCTAATTAAGAGATCATTATATCGACTGAACATTCCGCTGTCGTGCACAGAAATAATGGTTTTTTAATTTCAATCTATCGCCTTTTTGTTGGTCTGTAATCATAATACATACATACATACATAACTTCACGCCTGTCTCCCATGGGGGTAGGCAGAGACTAAGGAACGCCAATTACTACGATTCTTACATACCTCTTTCGCTTCATTAACAGTCATCAATCTTTTCATGCATGCTCGTCGGTTAAGGGTACTTTTAATTTGGCCCTTCTTTAATATATCGCCGTGTTCTGTAATCATAACTGCCTCTAAAATCTATATTGGTGAAAAATAGACACGTAATATTTCCTGATTAGGTATTTATTAATTCACACCAAAAGATCTGAACTTTATAATCGAATTAACAGCGTCTTGTCATCCAACACGTAGTAGAAGTGTTTGCAGATCTCTCTCGCTTTTTGTTTGTTTTGGTGATTTGCAAATTAACTTAATAATCATACATAACATTCAATGCTTAATCTTTATGGTGTATTAATGGCGAAATCGCAAACTCGTTTGCAAATCCTGAATCAGTCGAGTTGTAGACCGTACAAATACTTCTTGTCTAAGTACGTGTGGAAACTGGAAACCGAATCTACAAATACAACATCCGATTACTTAGTCATTGCATAAACTAAAAACATGAAATCCAGCCGATTCTTGAATCCAAAATACGCCGTAATCATACGAAGTAGGTAATTACTAAGATCACTTTCGACAATCACCGTGCGAGTTATGAGTCGGACACTCATATCCGTGAAATGTAGCTGTACCTACTCCGAGTGTAAGAACTTTCAAAAGAAATTTTATTTCAAACACTAAGATCGCTTAATGCTTAGTAATCAAAGCCTCCGCGGTTTATGAAAGTAGTTTTGAAGATGTTGTGATTGGCTTATGCCGATGCAGTTTAAATAATATCACTTTACAAATATGGCGTTCTAATTTTTTTGAATTTGTAACTGACGTAACTGTCAAACCGCCATGTTTGTTTTATTTTTTTAATTGCATCAAATTTTTTTGACGTCGATGGCTATTGTATGGATACATAGTAGATTTTCTAATAGTAACCAAACGATAGAGATGCAGTTTTGAAATTATGTAAAAAGTTATACATAAGTAGGTAGATATCCCATTTAGGTTGAAAATGTACTTATAATTTTGCGGTTCAAAATACAGCTTGTCTAATGCGGAATTTGATATAGGTAACAAAAAACTCCTTGCATTTTACGTATGCCAAAAACTGGAATTATCCCCATTATAATCACGCCTAACAACTACTAGATCACCAACCTTATTATAAACAGTTATTATAACAATTACCCGGACCAGTTGGTACAAGCAGATTCTTATAATGAGCTTTGTAATCAAGATCTGCCATATAGCAACCCTTACGGCTAGAGTAAAACGGGTACTTTTAAGCGGTGGTATACCGTTACAGTCACGGTCACCGAGCCGGCTCGCGTGTTACATAACCACAAGTAAATGTATCTAGCATTTACTGTTATATTTATATATTAGCTACACGGTATGTACTCCCAGTATTTATTATGATTGCCCGTCAGAAATTAGGCGTCATTTTATGATTTATTTTTCGTAAATTATATAATTACTTGTTTAAAAAGTTCTGATTTAGTATTTCTTATTATTTAGGGTATAATAAAAAGATATTTTTAGACTATAAGTGAAATCCACTCTTGCATATTTGGATCTTTTAGTTTATGCGTACATTAAGAAGGTCTATTGCTTGATTTTTTAATTTGATGTTACACATATCGTTTTTGCACTTACTAGGTGGCGCCTATGTCGAGTACAGTCTTGTTAGTCATATCACTGTTACAATTATGTTTGAGTACTTTATGATGAATTGGTGATATTATATAGCAGTTTATTTAATGTGCTCTAGTGAGTGCAAGTGCGGTAGGCTATTGAATGAAGCATTAAAATATTAACATAAGTTTATAAATACAAAGATTCTGGATGGTCCCTCTCTCAAAAAGTGACCATTTTCTTTAGTGTGCGCATAGTTTAAGACGAAAAAAAGCAAGCACAGTCTACCTTGCGCCATTATTCTAAACATTACAAAACTAATTACTATTCTAACAACATTGTTGCATACAAATACATAGGTTTTTGAAATTGATGATACTTATTTATGATTCGTCACGATTACTCAATCTGCTGTAACACAGTGGGAATTTCGGTTTGAGATTTCATAAGCTGAGTTCAATCTTAGCTTCTATTGTGTTGTTTTCCGCTTAAGCAAAAATAGATCTAATCATCACAGAAGACTTTATCCTACAAATTACAATCTTTCACCCACATATTTTTTTAGATGTTTCGGTTTTGATTTTGTAGAATTAAGTCATTATAGTTTTCGGTAAATCAATTCCAAAAAGCTAACTAAGGTTGAACTCTGTACAATGTGTTACACAACACACACTATCCACATCAACTTCAAAAACCTTTACAAAAATTAGACTGTGCAAGCTTTAACAATGGAAAACGGCTGGTCGATTGGCAGAGGTGTGCACAGGTCCCGGAAAGAGATGCAGCTGGTAACGTGATCCCAGCCTGGAAGCGTCAGATGCTGGCGAGAAGAGCTGCAGAAAAGGCTCGGAAAGACCTGGAGAAGGAGCTAGCAGGAGAAGCGGAGAGGCGAAGGGCTGCTGCCGTGCCAGCATGGAAGAGGCAACTGCTGCAACGAAGAGAAGAGGCCGAGAACAGGTTGAGGTCCGTTTTCATTTGGATAGGGCGGGGAAAGGGCATTTAGAGGAAAGGGAGAATGATGAGGTGGATTCTGTTGGTGGTTTTTTTTCTAAGTAGCAACTGATTTATATAAAAGGGGTTTTAAGTTTGCTCTAAGGATAAATCAAGAGAAATATTGATACAGAACAACATTTAGCAAAATTTTAATGAACAATAATCTAACATAAAGTTTTGGTGTTCCAGAAATTCCCTGTACACTCCCAAGGTAGAGGAGACGAACGGACAGCCAAACGGTGAATGGCGATCGTACCCGAGCGGGACTCAGCGTGCTGTGTCCATAGACAACATCAGCATGTGCTACGACACTCCTGCGCAGCCCATAAGGGCGCCATCAGAAGCAAAGCTGTCTAGTGATCATTGTAACGGTAAGAAGATGAAAGATGATGAAGTATTTTTCATGCATTTTTGGAAATAGGTAGTTGAGGATTTTTTAAAGATTAATTTAATTCACAATGATGATTTTTCCTGATTGTCCCCATACGATCCTACATTTTTTAACAAATCCATTTTTGTCGTTTCTGCAGTGCCTATAATTATATATTATAGTAAAGCTTTTTATAAAATAAATGACTACCTAGATGATAGTCTGGCTTGGAAATAAACTGCTGTAACGTCCACACAGGTCATGTTGCCATGTTTGTAACATATAGTTGCATTTCTTTTTTATATGCAATTTGACATTATTATTCTAATGTTATTTTTTGTTCCACCTTGACATTTACTTTTTATTTTTACAATTGTTAGTGCTAGGACCGTGCGAGACTTTGCCTCGCCATTTCTTTTCTAATTACCCATATTCTGACAGTTTGAGTATTTGTGTGCCCATGAACTAGTTGAGAGTTTTTCACTACTTCCTTTGTTATTATGTTTTCGAGATCCAGTATCAAGTTTTCACACACGGAACACACATTACTTAACTGTTACCATTTTACTTACAGGTCATACCACAACTAACGGTAAGCATGAAGAGGAAGAAGAAAAAGCGAAGATAATCCCTTGGCGAGCACAACTGCGCAAGACCAACAGCAAATTAAATCTTCTTGAATAAAGTACGTAATGAGTGCCGCCCACCGAACGCGTGGACCGCGCAGTCAAACGGGCATAGCTGTAGGATCGTCAAACATAGTCAATAGGAAGAAATAATGCTCAGTTGCTCTCTGATAGATAACGACGTAAAATTTAATTTATTTAGGTTATTTTATGTAATTATTGCTATTTATTACTTTTTATACATATACACTCTCAACACGACCAAACAAGTGAACGCCGAGCGGTTTCACAAGCGGTGTCTAAGACCCAATAGAAAATATATTGTGTCAGGCGCGGATCCGCGTTTAGGCACGCGACGGGGTAAACTAAATTAATTAATTTAGTCGCCCATATATCGCAGCATTCGGAAAGCAACACCATGAAGTGTTCAGTTATATTCGTTGCTCGATATAAATATACAAGCTATATAACGAGTCCAAATAATTGTAGAAATGATTCGAAATGTATCGTATTTTATTGATAGCCGACGTTCTACGGAAGCTGTGGAGATGGACAAGATTATTTCCGAGTCGATTAAGTAGATTTAGACTAAAGTAGTAACTCCAAACAATATTTTGATAATTTAGTAATATATTTTATATAGAAAATTTTCTGCATATTATAACTTTTATATATTACTAATTTCAACTAAATTTTCATATGTATCTGATAGGAATAGATACGTATTTTAAATTTAGTACATAAAATTTCGTTAACGATTTTTTTTAAATTGATATGTAGGTACTTATTTTTACTATAGTCATGTAAAAATGTAAATCTACTAGATTAGAATATTTCTAGTTATTCGTATAAAATATAAATAATTACGGTCTATACTACTTACTTTGATCTATACGGAATAAATATTGTGTGAGAAAAGGATACAAGTTAATTTCAATCCTGAAGACATTACCGTCCATTCTGTAAGAATTTATGACTTGTGAAAATATCGAAACGATGAAGTAACATTTGCTCAAGAAACCTAAGTTTTATCAAGTTTTATGAACCAGAATATTAAATGATTATAACGAAAAAATATTTAAAAATATATTTAAGGTTTTTTTTTATAATGCAAGTGATACCAATGTTGCAATACTAGTGTGTAAGCTTATAAAGTGGGATTCATCAGAATTGTGTGACCTGCTACATCTATGTGTGTTGATTTTATTCAGTACTCCTGAATTCTTATTGTAATGTTGTTAAATAAAATGCTATTTGCTTAAATATTTGTTTTATTTTATTGGCCCATATTCTAGTGAGAGTCAAATGGCGGATGTGTGATGATAATAATTGATAACAAAGTGAATTACACCAGGCACCACTATTTAAAACTAGCTTTAACTCGTCGAGTACCGTATTTATAGACACAATTAAAGAACAATAGGTTGCGGTCACCAGTGACCGCTCGGTGTTTGACAGTTTAAAAAAATTGTACTTCCTTTGGATGGAAATTGTTACAATATTACAAGTAGGTAGGTACACCCGCCATCTTGACGTCAAAATGGCGTCGTTCTTGTTCAAATGATTGCTTTTTTGTAATGTACGTTTCGGACGTTCCCCGATTGCAAACTCTCGCAATTGTAGACCGATTACCAAAATTCTTTTTTGTTTGAAAGATTACACTTTGCCTTTTGAAAAAAAAATCAAATAGGAAAACCTTGTTCGTAGTCTCTGCCTTTTGGCAATAATGTTTCCATTCATTTATAGGAACTGATTTACTTACTTACTAGTTATAAAGTTGCTCAGATTGCAGGAAAAAATAACGAATAATATGTGTGCGACCGTAATAAAAACAAAATTTATAACACTTCCACGCGTATATTGAATGATAAAATTAAATGCGCGTAAACACAAACTTTATGAATATCGTAAAATAAATCGAAATTGGCTCAAGAATTAGTCATGGTATATTTTGTATCGAGGTTTAAAGGTATATTCCATATTAAAATTAACCAAAAATTGTTTATCCACATAGCTGGATTGGTTACTTTAACTCGTAAATTATAATAATGAATACGGCGAGAAGTTAAATAATTACCTAACTAAGAATACCAATTTTAATTGATTCCGACTACAAGTTCTCCGTCAGATTAGTGCAGCATAATAAGAACTTTATAACGGTAAATAAAATGATCGAAATAATTTAAATCTAAATGTTTTCATTTACAGTTTTGTTACTATTATGTGCGTTACAAATTTCGTCGAACAAGACAGAGAAAATCTCAGTAAATGGCCTACCAAATGTTGGCATTATATCGGCTTTTCTAGAACAATTCATAAAACCTTACATAGAAAGTATACATCATGATAATAAGGATAAACCACGCACTGTGGAAGAATCTAAAGTAGATAAAGCTATTAGACTTAAAATGTCCCAGTTGAAACCTTTGCTTGAAGATGGTCAATGTAACTGTGATGCATCAAGACAAGCAGACACGAAGAACGAAACAGAAAATAACTTAACACTAAATGGTAACAATGAAACCACAATAATAGAGTTTGTGAGTGACAGGAGGTCCAAAGATAGGTCATCGTTAAGGGAAAACAAACAGGAACTGGACCCGTTCCAAAGGAATATGAAAAGGTACAAAGCATTGAGATATATTATAAAGCAGGCGTTGGACAAAGAAAATGCTGCAAATTCGACGAAGACACTCATTACAAGAACACTGGACGAGATGATAGCAATGCTGATAGAAAGGCAGTGTACGTGGAAGAGTGTGGACACCACGGGCCTAAATAACCGTATATTCAACCATCCAAAGAACATACGCAGATCTATGAAATATTTACAAAAGTTATCCAACAAAGAATGGATGAGTTTACGAACGCAGTATTTGAATTTCCTTAGGTTTACAAATGATCAGAAGAACTCATTCATAAAACAGTTCCACGAGTTCTTTTCTTCGGTCATAAACAACACTTGGGACCTGACTAAATATAGGGTACGATGTCAACTTATCAAACTTGATGACAAGCCTCAAAAGGGGTCGTTAGGAATACGAAATAAAAATATAGTAAAAGAGACGACTCAATGTGATACTATTAACGTATGTGTATGTGAAGATGAATTGAAATATTTTTTAAAGAATTTTCACAGTCACCTTAATGATACAGCTGTTAGTGTGTTTAAAGATTATTCAGCCATGTATATCAGAGACTTTACAGGAGAAATAGAAATCGACAAAGATATAGTAGGGTCCACTCTAGACACCCTTAGTAAAACCGCTGCAAAGAAAGTTTGTAAGATATACAGGAAGCAGTTAGAAAATTTCACGCTGGACGAGGAAAAGGAGAAGAAAGCTAATTTAGATAATATCAACAACTTTATAAAATCAACAAAAGGTGAGGTGAAGACTGCCCTACTCCAAATAGTGGATTACGAACTGAGCGCAATGAAAACAAAATTATTTAAGACTGTCAAGGATGATCTGGTAGTTAATTTGAAAGCGGACTTGGATAATATGCAAACACAGTACACAGAGAAGGTGTGTTCTCTCTTCGCGTCGTGTAATGGTAAAAGTATTGCTGGCGCTCCTGTCGCTGCAAGAAGAGTGGACGACAGTCATTGGAAGTTTAAACCTAAAGATGTTGACAACGTTTACGTTAAAGTACAATTGTCTTTGGACGACGAATTTAAGGATTCTTTAGCGAGCATTGCAAAAATAAGACGGTGGGAAGGTAAAGATTTGACACACAGGTCTAACAGGGGTCTGCCAGTCAGATTGGAAGAATTCCGACAAACTAATCTAAGTGTTACTAGGACTACACTTAGTTCGACTACATGGTTGGAAATGACTAGTGCTAAGATACTAGCCCATAAGCACCCAACTACAAAGACTACGGGTTTCAAGGTTACCAGAACAGCGACTCCTAAAAATACATTAATCGCTCATCACGCAACTAAAAGAAAACATTCCAGACGAAAAGATAACATAAATGAGGTTTATAAAAAGTAGTTCTTAGTCATTTGTAGTAAAAGATTGTCATTGAATTATTGTTTTATTGTTAAATATAAATATTTTTACATTTTTAAAATTACAAAAATATCAGGCAGTCTTTTTATATATTTATTTTGTTTGTCTTAAAATTTATTGTTAATACAAAAATATTTTACGCATCTATCAGAGGTACAATACATAATTAAGGAAATGAGTAGAAGAAAACATAATGAGAACCTCCTCCTTTTGGAGGAGATGATTAAAAATATTTTGTTTTTTTTCTACTAAAATCAAATGCAGATTAAACATTAATTTATTGTGCTCCTTCGATGCGTATGTTTTTTACCTAATTCGAACTTATTTCGTATAAATAAGAACAATGGAGAAATCACCATAATTATAAGGTAAGACTGACAATTACATTACCAAACTACCATTCCTTACACTACTTGATTTATACACTGAAGTCAAGCAAGTTTAAACCGAATAAAGAATAAAGGTTAATCAAGTGATCGTTTTATTTATTGATTGGATTGCCATCTTGTTAATTATACAATAGTATTTTTTCTATATTTACATTATTAAAAGATTGTGGAAATATGCGTTTGCGAATACCGGATTTAAGGTTAATATATCCAGTGCTACAGATGGCCTGACGTGTTACTAGTTCGAAGCAGTACTAGGAACGTGGTGGTTTTTAATCAGTAAGAGTCAGACACTCCCTCTCGCCTCACATAAGGCGGGAGAAGCCATTGGATGATTTTCGATACTCAAAAAAAAAACAGGTTCAAATGGCAAAGGCATTCAAAGGTACTTAATAAAAAAATCTCCTTCTTTTTATATTACACAACACAACATCACGTCTTTTATCCCCGAAGGGGTAGGCAGAGGTGCACACAGAAGTAACACCCACTTTTCACTATTTATGTTATGAGTCTCATGTAATAGGGGCTGAGCCTATTGCCATATACCGGGCACATTTCTAGACTCCGTGCTACTACTGAGATTTTTTTTAAAAAACCCAGTAATACTTTGCCCGACCCGGGAATTGAACCCGAGACCTCTTGCCCGGCAGTCGCACTTGCGACCACTTGGCCATCGAGGCAGTCTTTTTATATTACTAGTATTTTTTTAAGGAGGGAAAATCATCGAATGCCTGCTCCCTCCTGGGTGAGGCGAGAGGGAGTGTCAGACTCTTACTGACTAAAAACCACCCCATTCCTTCTCCTACGCTTCGAGCCGGAGCCCCGGTAACCTGTTAGGTTCTCTGCGATATTATACTAGTATAGATATACATTTCATTCAACTATAACAATGAAAACATATAAAACTTGCTTAACCTAATGAAGAATGTCACAACACAATCTACATAATGCACGGTCAATATGTATCAGTATATATGATGGGAAAGTGCTGCACTCTTCCACTGGACCAGGCGATGGTAAGACAGGCTCCCTCAACGAAGTTCTGTTGAAACGCTATGGTTGAAGGAACTTCCACGTCCATGCCGCAGACGAAACAACTGTAATTAAATATTTTGTTATTAAAACAAGTGTTATTTTGTACGAAATTATAGTCTAGGATTTATTAATAAAGGGTTAAATTAGAAACACTCTCAATAGACGAGCATGCATGAAGAGATTGATGAATGTAGATGAAGCGAAAGAGTATGTCAGAATCATGTCATTTAGCGCTTCAATTATTTTTTTTTTAATGTTTCTCCATACTTGGACTTCCTCCTGTGTCTTGGGTGCGTTTAAAAACATACAAATTCACATACACATGACACCCAGACCCGAAACAACAATCTGTGGATCACACAAAGAGTTGCTCCGTGCGGGCAACCACACGGAGCAACTCTTTGTTATACTACTCGAACAACTCTTTGTTGCTCGAACAACTCTTTGTTGTTCGAGCTGACATAGGCAGCACGACGTCGCCGCGTACGCGCATGCTACTCATCACGAAGAGTCCCTCTGTCTACGAAACTAGTAGAGCTTTTCTCAGTATAATTACATGAGAAAACCGTTACTTTTAGTAATAAAATGAGTATCTAACATCATAAACAACAAGCACAACTCACCAGGGTGTAATCTTGAGCTGTAACATGAGCCTTGTGGTGCAGAAGACAGTGACTAGATGAGACTCCTCAAACAGGATGGCCAGGTATTTGCCAGTGGGATCCCAACACATGTCCAGTATTGGTCCTCCCACTGTGTCTCCTGAAGGTAGCTCCACCTTCGTCACGTCGAGGACTGGTAGAGCTTTGCTGGTTTGAGATCCTGAGGACACAAGCACAAGCATTGCAGACAATAATATATTTTCTTTATAACATAATCATAGTGAAGTATGGTTACTGCCATCATAGGTAAATACTAAAATATTGTTATATGTATGTTAGAAACAACTGACTGCCTCGATGGCCGAGTGGTCGCAAGTGCGACTACCGGGCAAAGGGTCTCGGGTTCGATTTCCGGGTCGGGCAAAGTATTACAGGGTTTTAAAAAAAAATCTCAGTGGTAGCACGGAGTCTGGAAATGTGCCCGGTATATGGCAAAATAATCAAAATGTATAAAATGTCGTGGTGGCCCGGAGGTTTAAGACGCCCGCTTCTCATGCATGAGGGTGCGGGTTCGAAACCTACCAACGGAAAGTACCAATGTGACTTTTTCCGAGTTATATGTACTTTCTAAGATTATTCAGACACCACTGACAAACGGTGAAGGAAAACATCGTGAGGAAACCTGGGCTTATAATTTCTAATTATAAGTTTGTAATCGCCAACCCGCATTGAGCAAGCGTGGTGATTAATGCTCAAACCTTCTCCGTGTGAGAAGAGGCTTTGCTCAGCAGTGGGCATTTATAGGCTGTTGATGATATGGCAATAGTATCACCCCCTATTACATGGGACTCATAACATAAATAGTGAAAAATGGGTGTTACTTCTGTGTGCACCTCTGCCTACCCCTTCGGGGATAAAAGGCGTGATGTTATATACGTATGTTAGAAACAAATAAATAATCTACTTTGTACCTCTAATTACGACAACTATGAAGTAGGTAGGTGCAAGAAAAGTAATCTAAAAAACTTTTTTGTGAAACAGGTGTTTTTAATGACGTCATTGTACCTATGCAGAGAACCTCGAATCTTAACTTCGTCTAACATTCGTTCTTCTCTCAGAAATATTGTGTAGGTCAATTTTTTGCATGGTAAACAGTAATAGTAAACATAAGCAAAATCCTACCACTCATAAGCCCAGTGTTGGTGAGTGCATACACCATAGGCTCCCCTTTGGCAGCAAACAGCAGGATGTCTGCGGGTCCCCAGCACGCAGCCACCACGTGGTTACCGCGCGCACACCAGCGATCTGGTTTCCAACGTTTTGTGTCCCATACTCTGAAAATAAGAAAAAAAATCATAAAAATAAGAATGTTTTTTAGCATGGAAGAAGTTACAATTGCATTGCCAATTGGAGATTTGGGGATTGGGGTATTACACAAACATTTTGTTAAATATGTTTGAAAATCCATTTAACAACATGCCACGTGTTGTTGTTATATATTGTCACAGAATATCTATATCAAAATAGTAATATGTAATGAAATATTAAGAACTTTTTAAAATATATTCCAAAGACATTTCACTTGAATAAGATATTATCTAACAGCAACACATATAAATGATCATGGCTGAATCTAAGAAAATATTCTTATTGTGTTTCTTTTTGTAGTCAGTTTTTAGTGATTATACCTTTTTTTAAATACATTGTGCCTCAAGCATTAATTAACATCAATATAGTTCAGCTAGAGGCCCTGGTTGCCTCGCCCTAGATGGAAGGAGTCATGTTCGAAATAAGGTTAGCTTTAGAACTGCAAAATATAAAGTTTGCAGAAATTCTAACAGGAATATGCAGTACCTGGGAATAAGTGTGGGAGAGCCATGCTTCGGTACGAATGGGCCGGCTCGACCGGAGTGATACCACGGCCTCACAGAAAACCGACGTGAAGCAACAACACGAATCATATGAGTGAGGTTACCGGAGGCCCGTTAATTACCCTCCCCTTCCCAAATCTCCCCAATTCCTGAATCCCCAACGATCCTCAAACTTCTAATCCCTAAAAGGCCGGTAACGCACTTGTAACGCCTCTGGTTTTCCAGGTGTCCATGGGCGACGCCGATTGCTTACCATCAGGTGCTTGTTTAGCAGCTTATGCCATAAAAAAACTTATTCATTTAAGCACATCCATTTTATAAAACAAATTATGTACATACATACCTAAATATAATAGAAGAGGTAGCCGCGAATACTTTGCTAGCATCAAATGACCAGCGCGCGAAGATGATGCCTCCCCCTGCAACTCTTCGAAGTGGTACTGCGGTTTCCATGGAAACATCCCATATTAGCATGGAAGTGTCTGCTCCAGAACAGCTGATTAGTAAATCACCATTTGGAGACCAGCTCACATCTGTCACTGGACTGTGGCCGGGCCTGAAAAAGTAAATAATAATGACTTTTAATACAAGTTGTCATTAAAAATTATGAAAATCTACATTTAAGGATTTCTTATTTATATTCTTATTAGAACACTTAAGTCTTTATAAACAAACTCTGAAGTGCATGTTTCACACAAAATTTAATATAATAATGATATTATTGACAAAAAATAGTCTTTTTTCTTTATGCATAGATAAAGAATATGAGTTAATAGTAAGACGGAAAGTATTCATACCTTTTCAAAACTACTGCATTGCTGGAAGACGGCTTAGTAAACATGGAATTGGGGTCTACAGTCCACACTATGACTCCCTGTTCACATCCCACAGCTAGCTCAGAAGCTGAGAACGGTCTCCAACTCAAAGACGAAACATGTCCTTGTGCTTTACATTTCAATGTGGACACAAATGCCACTTCAGAACAATATATCCTCACATTGTCATCTACTGTTGCCACAGCCATCTTAGTAGTATGAGGATGCCAAGCTATACATTTTATAGGTGCATTACCCCAGTTCCTAGTCCTTGAGTAATTAGCAACGATTTTCGGCCCAATATCCTTCAAATGTGGCTGCAAGAAGTATCTAAACGCCGAGAACACGTTAGCGACTTTTAACACATATGAAGCGGCGTAGGCGAGGGCCTGGCTCTCGCGGTTCACTGAGGGATCAGCAGCGACTGCCAGAGCCTCCAAAAACCCCTGCTTGTACCACACACTTGTAATTTTTTTGAGTAAGTTATCCTCAACGTCAATGTACATAGAAATATTCTCATCAGTCGTCCTGTGATGATGTATGTCTCGTGTTACATTGATTACGGGATGGCTTTTCGTCTAGAATAAAGGTTTGTTAGTTATTAGTTGTATAAATAACGAATAAATGTAATGTAATGCAGATAACCTTACCGAGTTTGTAAATGTTGATATATTGCCGTAACGAGAATTTGCACAGCAGTAAACTTCATTTAACTTACAAAATGGGATTTCCTCTGGCCCTGGAAGCTCAGGAAATCCGTGAAAAGCTGACATTTTATTGTTTTACACTTTTATTAATAAGAATAAACGACCGGCGCCTTTGCAGTTTTTAAATATTTATGACAGCTGTCAAATGTCAAATTATGTTTGTGACGTTTGAATTGTATTACCATATACGAAAATTAGAAAACACGTTCATTCCTAACTTCATTTTATAAGGAATAGGAGGCAAATGAGCAATAACGGATCACCTGATGGTAAGCGATCAGCGCCGCCCATGAACATCCGCAACACCAACTCCGTTTATTCAGTGAATTCTAACTAAACACAACTTTATTATTTATTGATTTAAAACTAAATTACGTATAAAATCAGCAAAAAATAGAAAAACTCAAATAAAGTTTTAAACTATTATAGTATACTAATAGGATTTTAGATTTTTAACACTAATCTACTTCATCATGATTAAATAAGTCTTAACTTCAAGATACCAAGATGTTGCACATAGATTATCTCGAACAATGACTCGGATGGTGAAGTAGCTATCAGTGGCTGGAAACGACTTGTATTCAAAGTCTCTTCAGCTAAATGATGAAGTAAACAAAGTCCCTTATAAGTGAAGCAATTCTAGTTCCCCACTGTTAATAATTGTGGCTAAATACTAGATCGAAAATATTAAAATTATATTTTATGTTTTGGCTCAGGTTGCTTCTTTTTTTTTTATTCTGTTCGTGTCTGACACTGAAATTCACAAAAGTAAGTACTTTGAGACGTATACGTGAAACGTGGACCGTAGGTACTTATAAACTTATCTATAGTAAACAGGATTATCACGCCTCCTTGAAGGAGAAGCGACGAAAATCGAAAATAACCGAAAAAATTTTCGGTGACCCAGCAATCGAACCTGGGACACCTTGTCCAGCAGTTGCACTCGAAACCATTTGACCAATAGAGTAGTTCATTTTCATTAATACTTACAGAACCGTATAAATGTACCTACGATATTATATACCTATTTAAGTAAATATTTATTGGAATTGTATATTATACATAATAATATTATTATGTATAATTAAAAAGCTATTATTTAGTCCAGACTTCTAACTTCACGCCTGCAAAAATTCAAAGCAATCGGTTTAGTAGTTACGGCGCGAAAGTGGAACAAACAAACAAACAAACTCACTTTCCGATTTATAATATTAGTAAGGATAAATCGCCAACCCGCAATGAGCAAGAGTGGTGATTACTGCTCAAACCTTCTCCATGTGAGAAGAGGCTTTGTTCAGAAATAGGCACTTATAGATTGTTGATGAAATAGGTACATATTTAATGAAATAAAACAAATTTGTTTTTATGATTGTGACCGTGAATGATGAGTAACATCATTCTATACATTCATTTGCTGACTTTTTGTTCTTCTCGTTTCTTTTTGAGATTTAGTATATATTTGAGACGTTTTGCAAAATAGTTATTCGGATAGTTGACCACCGGATATTTGGGTGCTCCGCGACCCAATTCCACCAAAGGCTTCAGATTTCTTCGCATTTGGTACATGTCTATCAGTTTACTGAAGTAACCATAGAGATACCATTTTACCTGACGATATAGAAGAATTTAAACAGTGACTTAAAATGTATGTATAGCTATACTTACATAACATAACATCACGCCGTTTTGTCCCCGAAGGGGTAGGCAGACGTACACATTTCGGCACTTAATGCCACTGTACAATTAACACCCACTTTTCACTATTTATGTTATGACTCCCATGTAATAGGGGGTGAGCCTATTGCCATATACCGGGCACATTTCCAGACTCCGTGCTACCACTGAGATTTTTAAAAACCCAGTAATACTTTGCCCAACCCGGGAATCGAACAGGAGACCCCTTGCCCGGCAGTTGCACTTGCGACCACTCGGCCAACGAGGCAGTTTATAACTTTAATACATTTAGGTATAAATAATAGGTATAAATAAGTATAGCTATACTTATTAACCTAAATGTATAGCTATACTTATTAACCTAAATGTTGGTTTGCTTCTGTTTTACCTAGTCATATTTTTGTATCTACTAGATATTCACCGAAATAGGGGTCAAGATGCACATAGGCAGGTATTTCATGTAAATAAAATAATTAGGTAGGTATAAGAAAGACTGATAATAACTTTTTTGTTGTTTTTATTTTTTATTAAAAAATACGTTGGCCCACACTAGGATTTTCTCCTGTGTCGTTTACAAACATACAAGTTCACATACCTACACATGACACCCAGACCCGGAACAACAATTTGTGGATCACACAAAGTGTTGTCCCGTGCGGGAATCGAACTCGCGACACTTTGCACTGCAGCCGTTTGCCCAGCCACCGCACCAACGGTGCAGTCAATTTTTAATTTATTATTATTATTTGGTTGCTGTCCAAAAATCTAAATGTCGTCCATAAGTTCCATAAAGTTATTTAATCTCATTTATTCTGATTTTCGCCCGAAAATATCAACCTGTTTATCCATGAGACGATTTTTTAAGGGAGAAAAATCATCCTATTTCTCCTCCCGCCCTGGGTGAGGCGAGAGGTCTGGGTGAGACTCTAACTGACTAAAAAACAACATCGTTCCTACTCCGCTTCCGAACCCATTCACCACAGATGGGGCCTAACAAGGCTGATGCCGATACGGAGCCGCGGAAGACTTAACGGGTTGCCGGGGCTCCGGCTCGAAGTGCAGGAGTAGGAACGGGGTGGTTTTTAGTCAGTAAAAGTCTGACACTCCCTCCCGCCTTCACCCAGGCGGGAGAAGTCATTGGATGATTTTCCCCCCTCAAAAAAAAGGCAACCCATTCAGTCTTCTACGGCTCCGAAGCGATCATACCTACTAGGTCTGTGTCTACCTACTAGGTGTGATGGGTATTTATGTAGCGATTAGACGTATGTACATAACATCACGCCTTTTTTCCCGAAGGGGTAGGCCCATAGTAGACATTATGCCACTGTACAATGTAACACCCAGTTTTCACTATGTTGAGTCCCATGTAATAGGGGTGAGCCTATTGCCATATACCGGGCACAATTCCAGATTCCGTGCTACTACTGTGTTTTTTTTTGAAAAACTCAGTAAGTAATACTGTACCCGACCCTGGCATCGAACCCAAGACCCCGTGCTCGGCAGTGGCACTTGCGACCACTCGGCCAATGAGGCAGTCAGCGATTAGAAGGAATTAAAAAATAAATTACTTTATGGTTTACCTTCATTAAAAGATTTTCTGCTATTGAGTGGCCGCCGCCGACAGCGTCCGGGTCAGGTCCTTGGAGGGCCTTAAGCATGCGGTCTATGGTTGAGAAAGTTGTCATCACATCTGGAATGGTTAGTTTCAAAGACAAGGCTTCATCATCACCATAGACCACAGTGAATAAAGTCAGGAGCACAATTGTTGTTGCTGCAAAAAAATCTTTTGGTTAAACTATTATTGCAGGTAGATATAGACCTACCTACTTCGTTATACTGAACACGAAAATAAGTAGATATTTACAAAATTCAAATAACGGTTGATAGGTTTTTCATTCTTCTAAACATTTCAGTACCGAAAGTCTCTTAAATAGTTTTTTTTTAAGGAGGGAATATCATCGAATTAGGTACTGCTCCCGCCTGGGTGAGGCGGGAGGGAGTGTCAGACTCTTACTGACTAAAAACCACTCCGTTCCTTCTCCTGCATTTCGAGCCGGAGCCCCTGTAACCCGTTAGGTTCCCCGCGACGTCTAATAAATAGTTGGGGTCATTTAAAAAATAATTAAAGTAGGCATTTATTAGTAACATCATCGGAATTCTTACTAAAAACGTACCAAGGTACTGAAATGTGGTCTGATTATGGATAATCCAAAATTGATTAGGTACTTAATTTTTTATCATGAGTAAAAAAATACTCTAATGTAAAAATACCTATTAGGTACTTTAGGTATTCGAGTATCAAATCCTTTAACATTAATACTGTATTATACAAAGCAGTAACACATTCAATCGCTGACAAATATGTAGGTAATACCTAAGAGGGCAAGTCAAAGGCACCTAACAGAAAACTTACTGAAAGCACCCATTTCGCGTTTCCACCATTAACTTTTCAATTGAATCACGTAAGAAAATCTTTCATAAACCCCAAAATGTTAGAACTATCCTTTTGAAGATGTCCAACCGCACGTGGATGAGCGAACTGATACAAAAACTAATCAAGTCCAAACAAAGAGTTTTAATTGAATTCTGATTTGTCAGCCATTGGACACGTTGCGAGCGTCGGATTAGTCTCGCGATGTTTTCCAATTAAACGATTTTTCCACCCGCGGTCGACTAGAGATAGGTAGGTATGTATGTACCTACGTACCATCAATAAATGATAGGTATTCCAATTATTGGTTACTAACGAGACAAGACTCCCTCTTTGGCTAAGAGGTTGCAAGTGCGACTGCCGGGCAAGGGCCTCGGGTATGATTAACGGGGCGGGCAAAGTACAACTAGGTTTTTAAAAACTATCTCATTGGTGGCACGGAGTCTGAAATTGTGCCCGGTATATGGCAATAGGCTCACCCCCCATTACGTGGGACTCATAACATAAATAGTGAAAACTGGGTGATACATTGTATCGTGGCATTACGTAATGTGCACCTCTGCATCACCCTTCGGGAATAAAAGGCGTGATGTTATGTTATGTGGTCGCTAGTGCATTACGTTTCGGGATTTCGGATGACATGGAGTCATTATGGAGAAACGTGGATAAACTATGTGGTTACTAACGGTCAAAATCAATAAAATTTCTGTGTCAACCTTGATTTTTGACAGATTCCTTACCTTACAACCTAATGTCAAAAAGCGCAGGTTATCAATATCGTACCTTTTTTTTTAAGGGGGGAAAATCATCGAATTTCTGCTCCCGCCTGGGTGAGGCGGTTCTTCAGACTCTTATTGACTAAAAACCTCCCCGTTCCTTCTCCTGCACTTCGAGCCGGAGCCCCGGTAACCCGTTAGGTTCTCCGCGACAAATTATCGGACCTTAGGATACTAAATAGGAACGGGGTGGTTTTTAGTCAGTAAGAGTCTGACACTCCCTCCCGCCTCACCCAGGCGGGAGCAGTCATTCGATGATTTTCCCCCCTTAAAAAAGGGTACTAATTAATGTTTTGAATAATAATATGAATTCACAGAGCAAAAAATAAAACCAATGATTATCATAGCTGTTTTATTTTTTCAACGTGGTTTTTTGTATGTTTTTATTGTTTACTTCATCCCATGACAATACTCCCAATAAGTACTTGTTAAGTACCTTAGTCAAGTTCTGTAAAAGCTGTAGCCATAACTATCGTCTAGCGTTTTTTTAAGGGGGGAAACTCATCGGATTACTGCTCCCGCCTGGGTGGGGCGGGAGGGAGTGTCAGACTCTTACTGACTAAAAACCACCCTGTTAGGTTCTCCGCGACCCATTAGGTTCTCCGCGACATCGCCTAACGTAGTATTAAAATTCACGCTAAAGTATCATTAAAAATCGACCAGTAGAAAATATACTAAATTGTATTTATTGGAGGCTAAATAATCAAATAAAACACAGAAATGTTAAAACAAAAGAGAGAAGAAATAATTTTAAAACCTTAACTCAAGCCTTAGACAGTCCTGTCATCAATAAGACAAACCCACCAACCATATGAATCAAAATCTACGCAAAATACAAAAAAAGCGAATTTTTAACAGAACTTGTGTGGGAGAGCCATGCTTCGGCACGAATGGGCCGGCTCGACCGGAGTGATACCATACGTTGATACGTTGTGTTTCGTCGTATGAGTGAGGTTACCGGAGGCCCAATTACCCTCCCCTTCCCCAATCTATGAGTATGTATGAGTTGTTGAATGATTCTCACACAACTTGGAGTCTAGGTGGAAATAAGTCGCTTGATAGTCCGGTGAGATGCTATTTATTGATACACTAAACTAACACGTCGACTATATTATCAACTAAACTAATGATTGATGAGTACTGATGTATTTGAGTGCTGAACATGTACTGAATACAAATTTATTGCTATAACTATAATGAAATTAATAAACTAAAATCTGCTGACATGAAGCGCGCGTGCGTGTGATGTACAGTCGCTGACTCGTACATATTCCCAGACGAGAAAGATGAGATGAATGATTAACAAATTTCTTATGCTAAACTTATAAAATTTCACCCAATTATAATTCATAACTTAAATCTATGTTTACAATTGATACTTAATCACTATCACTAGGCTTAGTGAAAATAGGAGGCGTGTTCTTATGACGCTTCATACTACTAAGTATTCTAGAGAAGTTTGATAATTCTACTGCTTCTTGACCGTGTGGCGGTGATGGCTCCCTTCTTGGTCGTGTCACTGGCGCGCAGGAGGCGTTGTCTTGTCGGTGCATGGCTACTATCGGCACCGGCTGGGGTCGTTCGAAGTCCGACTGTAAGTTGGTGCTGCCCCGCCCACGACGACAATACCATCGAAATGTGAAGGCTAGCGCTGACATTACTGCGCCCAACAATAGAATGTAGATGATCGAGTATTGATGAATATCGTGGGTGGATATGTCAGGGATGAGAGCATTTTCTGACTTCATTTGATCTATCTGTTCCTTGATGTGTTGTAGTGAATCTTGCTGATCAATATAAGTAAGATTGACTCGTGGCACCGAAACGTTGATGATTTGGTTTATCGGCGCGATTACCTCAGGCAAAGATTCAGCTGCTCATTCACTTCCGAATACTGCATCTTGTGTGAAAATACAGTAAAATCTTGACCTTTAATTACACAATCGGAATCCAATGCTATGACACCGGCCTTTGTTATTTGCGTCGCTATAATTTGACGCTCACATATGATACGTATGGTACACTGTCCGCAACAGTAAAATAGGTATGTGTTTATTTTGTTTAATTCAATCCAATTATTGCGGCATGCTGCAACGTCTGTGCGACACCTGTCTGTGTCCTTGCTTTTGACACATAGGCTGTCTTCTGATTTAAATTGAAAGACAGGTTTTCGAGAATGGCAAAGACGATTGTATTCTCCATTCTGAATACATTGTTGTATATCTTGCTTCGTCATAGCTAGATATGTATCCTTACGTAAGTCAATGGCAATGTAATCTGAGACAGGAATGACGGTCACTGTTGTGTTGCCTTGTTGTCCTGGGATTGGAATTAATTGATATAGATCGTATCTTTCTCTATTGACCAGTGGTATTCTGATTTCAAATATAAGATACTGCTTTGTCATTCTTGCCTTGACTCTCAGGAGGGGAAAAACTTTGGATAGTTCAGTTTGTGTGTTTTCTATTGGTAAAGAAAGTTCTCTTGATAACTGTCCTGATATAATGCTAAGTTGGTCACGTAGTTGTCCTGGCGAGAGTACATGTGCACTGAACATGCCATGGTGAATGTCTGTTATGGAGTCAATCAAAATGTCTTGTATTGACTTTAGTTTTGAGAGCATGTTTGTTGCTATGATGGTCGATAGAGCTAACTCATTCATGACCTCTTGTTCTTGTAAGTTTTTACTTAACGTATTTGTGGCCTTTGTGAGATTGTTCAGGTGCTGGTGAATAACTTTGTGTTGGCGATTAATCGCAGACTCTGTTCTTTTTAGTAAATTGTACTCTGCTTCCACGACTGATGTCTGATTTTTCCATAAACGAGCCAGGGTTTTTTCGTTTTCCTTAATAAGAGAAATATCCTTTTCATATTTATCCGCAAATCGCTGATCTAACACGCCGAATAAGCTGTTAGCTACGTAGCCTACACCGTCAATGAGGCCCCGTCGCTTGCGCATGCTTTCTTTAAAATGCTGACTGAGTAACATGGCGTCATAGTATTGTAGTTCGTCATATGAGTGATTTAGTTGGAGAAGGATGATGTCACAAACTGCGTTGTTGGATCCTCTTTTGCATACGTTGTTAATTTGTTCCAGGTATTTATTGAATGTTATTGACCCTTCCCAGTACGGATTCATATCGTAGTACACGATGAGTTTCCATTCATCTCGTATGAACTGCATATTTGATATTTTATCAAAATAAAGTGCTTTATTTATTTCTGTCAAAGTGTACGGTAATGTTGATTGTTCCTGACTGAATGCTGTCGTAATGAAGAAAAACAACGTGATTATAGTCGTTATCAAATGCGATCTTAATCCAGGTCGGTTTGATGGTTTTTTCGATTGGTAGTCTTGCTTGTCAGTTCTTTTCTCTGAGTGAACGGGTAAGTGTGTGGCCTTTGATTCTGATACAAGCACAGACACTTTAATCACAGGGCGTTTGATGTTACCATTTTTGGTTTTTAGTGTGACGACTCTAGTTAACCCGTCAGTACCAGGATGCGCTTCTATGACTATTCCTAGAAGCCATCTTCCCGCTGGTAGGTTAGGCTCATGAATTATGACAACATCGCCAATTTTGACATTTTCATGAGGTACAAGCCACTTGCTTCTCGCAGAGAGTTGAGCGAGATATTCAGCTTGCCATCTACTCCAAATATCTTTAAAAATTTTTTGCGTCCTCTTCCATCTTGTTCTGTCATCATCTTCTGTATCTAATACCGTTAGTATAGGACCACTGCTTAAGAAATGAGAAGGTGTCAAGTAGTTTACATCGTCGGGATCCTCTGTAATTGCGCATAGCGGGCGACTGTTGAGACATGCTTCGAGCTGGGCAAGCAAGGTACTGTATTCTTCGAACGTGAGTTTCTGAGCTCCTACAACGCGTCGAAGATGATGCTTCAAACTTTTTACAGCTGCTTCCCATAAACCCCCAGCGCTCGGCCACGAAGGAGCATTAAAGTGCCATTGAATATCCATATTACTAATTTCAGAATACAGATCATCATTGAATGTTCTACGGAGTTCTGCTAGTTCCTGTTGTAAAGCTTTGTTGGCACCAACGAAGTTGGTACCGTTATCACTGTAGATGTGGCGCGGCTTGCCTCGACGTGCAGACATACGCTTCAAAGCAGCTAAGAATGATGATGAGCTTAGATCTGATACAAGTTCGAGATGCACCGCTTTAGTAACCATGCACACGAACACTGCAATGTATCCTTTACTCGTTTTGTTTGTACGTCCTTTGTTGTGTTTTACGTCAACGTAGCCTGTGAAGTCTACCCCAGTATGGTGAAAAGGTCGAGAAGGATTGCATCGAGATTCAGGTAAGTCACCCATCATTTGCTTTTGTTTAGTTGCTTTGTGCTTCTTACACGTAATACATGTATGTAACCGCTTTTTTACAGCTCTGTTTCCTCCTAGTATC